AACAAAAAAAAGATAAACTGAATAAATTTACTAAGTGATCTTTTGCATAATCATTATTGTTTTATTATCTTGCAAACAAAAAATGTTGAACAAAGGCTAGTTCACTGAAACGGCAACAGTTGAAAACGCACTAATTACTACAGCTACTACTATTGCTACCATCAATCGATATGACTTTAAGACACTGTATTTTATTGATTAATGGAATGATTACCAGATTAATTTATTACGGTAAAAAAGAGTTGAAAGTAAATAGTTACTATTTTTCTGACATCCTAAAGAACTTGTCAGTTGTAACATGATAATTCAAAATGAAAAAGTGACATGGAATATTGAGGTTTAAGTATATGACTTTATTATCCACCAGATAAAATGTAACGCCATCATTTATCATAGAAAAACTTAATCATTTCTAGTTAAAATATCGATGTTGATAAATTATGATAACTCAAAGAAAAATAAATAAGCAGGTAATAGAATAAATTTTTTAGAGAATAAATAAGAAACCTTGTAAATTTAATAAGTTAATTTAATCCACACGTGTTGACAACTTTACTGATCTGTCTGTCTGTTAAAAGTAACATAGAATCTGGTACAAGTACATTTGTTTACATTGCCATAACAAATCAATACAATAGGATGAAACTAAAAAGACAAATATCAGAAGAGGTAACTGTATTAATAGTATTAAAAAAGGATTAGGCATAAATAATCGGATTTGAGTAGAATGAATACATAGTATAGAATAATTCTGAAAGTTAGAATTAAGAGGAAAACAAAAATTAAATCTGCCTTAATTTAACCGATTCTCAGGTATGTCATCAACAATTTCTTTAATATCGCACAGAATTCGACCAGCTAGTCTGTGTGTACCAACATCAACGAGACCAGCAGTCAATGACTTCGAAACTTGACGTTATTTCTTCTTTTGGTCACTTTTAGATTTCCTCCAGCAAACATCACCAACATATACGTGACACAAGTATACTACAAAGCTTTTGAAGATAGCTACTGGAGCTTGAATTGTGCCTAAAAGTTTGCTTTTTTGAACGAGGAAAAAGCGAGGCTAATAACTGTGTTCGTGAAAGTCAATCATAATGTAGGTAGGCAGAAATAAACACTAATAAAAAACAACGTTCATTTAATGTGTGAACGAACTAATGGAACATCAAAATTATGTGAACGCTTTCGATAAGTTTTCTTGGGGTAAGCTTCATCAAATTTACTAGTCACATTTATTATTCCTAGATAAAAATTACAGCGCAACTGGAACATAAAAAAAGGTGTGAAGTGAGAACAAAGGCTCTACTTCAAGGTTAGTTCATGTATAGAAAAATGAGGGCATTTCTAGAGTTATATATGACCTTAGGCTTCCGGAAATTTTTGGAACAATACTAGTTATGTGGTCAGCATGTGATTAAAACAATTAAAACTAAAGATTGTTTTATATTAATAATCAGTGAAAAATTATTGAAGGAAAAAAGAAAGCGAATTTTATTCACATTGATTTCATCAATATATGATCATAAATCGATAGTTATTTTCATCATAGGGTTGTATTGATTGTTAATTTTCATTGGAATTATGAATCGATCAATGTTAGAGCATCATTAGAAACATGGAAGAATTGGATGGACGTTTCATTTTAGTAGGACTCATGGGTTCCATTCCTACTTGTAGGGTCATGATTGCACATTGCTGATGAGTTCCATAATAGAACGAAATGGATGTCCAGTGTTTGTGGGTTCCTATTAGTGTTCTAACATTGATTAATTCATGATTCTAATGATATCTATTTTGATCATACCAGATCGGTGCTGTTCAAATAGAATAATTGGACTTGTGAATTTTATGTCCAGATTTCAATAAACTGTGGACCATGATGATAATAATAATTTTAAAAGGCACTCCAGGATATTTCGTTAAATAGATGTGTTAAAAACTCATGCGCTTGCAAAGATAGCTTTCAATCTTTGCAAATTCCAATATTATGACAATTAAAACGCGGTGTTGTAGTGGTCAACCGTACATACTAAGAAGTAAGTTTACCAGACGATTATCTTTGGAATTTAAAGTCTTCATTCTAAATATCAGAAAGGAAATAAGAGCTTAAAAATTAAGAATCAATAAACTGGTTCTCCAAGTACCTGATTATAAGGAGTAACAATATAACTACCTGGTTAACTAAATAAAGGCACTTGGAACAGCATTCTAGCCTGGAGACTAAGCATCTGAAAATCGAATGTCTTAACAACTCTCCAATGATAAATTTATACCGCTAAACGACTAAAAAAATTTAAACAATGGATTAACAATTTGAAAAATGTAATTGAGTGTTCCTAACTTGGTTCATATATGCGAGTGCGGTTTTCTTTAAGATTTAATGGTAATGTGCTAACTATTTAAACAAACAGCTTCATCCATTAAAGTGAATACGCCCTGGCAAAAAAAACTACTGTGCTAGGAGATAAAGGCAAAGGAGTTGATATAAACAACACAACGATGTGAACCACAGTTGTTATAGTAATTCTAGTATCTATATTCTCTAATGAGTTTACTTTCTCTACAGTGAAGTGAGATGATTTCAATTCTTGTGGTGGTGGATTCCTAAAAGATTCTAGAGTTACCAAAAAGAGTGTACAAAATGTTACTTATTTCACTTCCAAAATCAACCCAACGATGGACCTAACATGACTACAATGTTAGCAGCAACCGATGGAGAGTTTCGACATGGAACACATGATTAGATTCGGATCATGCTCTTGTACGAGAGCTTAACTGCCTGCGTTTGCCAGCATTTCACTCTGTCAATCGAGAGGTTCTATGGCAGAGTCTGTTATTATTGAAAGGTGTACCAAAGAAGTACATTAACGTCATACAAGTTCTCTACTCGAACACTACTGCTCTAGTTACAGCTTATGGCAACTGTCATTGGAATTGATTACTTCGAGTGGTGTTCGTCAACGTTGTCAACTTTGTCCATTCCGATTCAACTTTGTCATTGTTTTCTCGTCTGAATTTTCAGGAATTGAACTTCAACCAAGAAACTCGCTTGTTCACTTAGAATACGCAGATGATATAGTTCTGTTTGGTGAAGACGCTGACAAAATGCAAAGTCTTTTGACCACCTTAAGCAACAAAGCAAGCATGTTCGGGATGCAGTTCTCATACTTGCATCGGCACGTGAACTAGTGATAGAGAGTGAAGTAGTTGAGCGTATTGACCGCCCCACTTATCTGGGGAGTTTCATCAGTGCTGATGGCCTGGTGACTGACAAAATCTCAGCAGGGATACAGAAAGCTCGACTGGCTCTTGCCAACTTGCGTCACTTATTGCGTGGGCGAGATATCGATTTGCTAACCAAAGGGTGAGTCTACAACTGACTGACTGAGTTCTCTCCATCCTAATCTACCGCTATGAAACATTATACCATTACAATCAGAGAATATTAGTAGGCTGGTCGTTTTGATCCTAGTTGTCTCAGAAGCATTGCTCGAATATCCAGGGACCATCGAGTAAGCAATGCTGGTGTTAGAAAACGGGTATCAGGTAGCGATGGCAGATCAATTGACTAAATAGTGGATTTAGTCATAATTGTATATTATTTGGAAACAAAGAACAAGATAAAATAAATTCAATAAATAAATAGACTGATAGTATGTAAATATTTACATATGTTTTCTTGCAGTTTTTTACCACCGAAATCACGTTCACATAACAAATCACACTTAGTTAAATGATGTTCAAAATTGTTCGAATAGTCAATGAAATGAAATAAAATTGTTTTACTCTATAGTCATAGATGTTAACTAGGCCCAACATACTTTGTAAGGTATCGATATTAGTTGTCTATTCTAGCCACATCGTAAATTGAGAAACTTTTGAATCAATAATCAGTATGGTATATAACATTGGTAGGTTACTAGTCTTCGATTATAAATGTCTTCAAAGCGTGGCCCGTATTTCCTGGGACAACCGTATAAGCAATGCTGTCGTTAGGAAACGAGTATTAGGTACGGATGGCAGATCAATAGATGAAGTGGTGAAACTTCATCAGTTGAGGTGGTTGGGACATGCGTTACGTATGCCTAAACACCGATCCCCGCGACTTGCTGTATTTTTCAGTGTAGGAATAGACGGGACGAAAGCTAGGGCCGGCCATACCAAAACATGGCAGAAATGCATGAAGTCACTGACAAGTGGAGTGAGTCATGTTGGTAGAAGTAGGCTATCTGGTTGGGGTCCGAAAGACGAAAGTCACCAATGGTTAGAGACCTTGAACGACATGGCTAAAAACCGTTTGCAATGGCGCAAGTGCATCCACTCTGTGTTTTTTTAATTCCAGCCCTCTTAATTCCTCATAATCTCTATCTTTCTCTTTACAAATTTATCTCACTGAATTATGCTTTCGAATCATATCTTCGCTCCCTAATCTTCTCCATTGCTGCTAATAATTATATTATCCCTATCACTCTTGGATTTGAACTGACAGTTGCGTCTCTGTGCTGATGTGGTATGGCAACCTGAACTGATGTACCTATGTACGAAGTTCTGCATTGTATCTGTCTGTATCTATAATAACAGAATCCTGGATCGGCAGAACATGAGAAACAAACTGGGATTTTTAAGAAAAATTCATTAAAACTATCTCGTTTTGTATCATCTCACATTCTAACTAGGTATATACTGTCATGAAGAAATATTTCCCGATGTTTAGAAAGTTTGATTTGAAGACAAAAAGATGCTTCTGGTCTTCAATGAACTAATAACTGGATAAATTGAGTGAGATGAAACCATCAGACTTGATGAGGTTTACTCAAAATGCCAACTGGCCAAGAACGTATATGTACAAAGAAATTCAGAAAAGAATATCAAACTACACAATTAGATTAGAAAGCCACCATCATTTCTGATGAAATAGACGATGTAAAAAAAGTTCAGTACCAAAATAATTCAAATTCATAAAATTATCAAATTCACACAAAAACTAATTAACTTACCGGTGAATAAAATTTTTATTTTGTATATATTCCACACGTGTAATTGTTTGATCAGCTAACAAAAGAACCGTTTTTAATTTAAATCTCCGACCACAAAAATTGAATAAATCTTCTAAGCTAGGACCAAGTAATTGTATAACCAGAACATTGTAATCGCCTTCTGTTCCAGACCATTTCAGACAAGGAATTCCAACTAGAACCAGAAAAATACAAACAGATTATACATGACACAAACAAAGTAAAATATCTTGATTTATTAATCATCATGCTTAACACCAAACAAGTGTGTTGCAAAATTAGTTATGTAATAGATGGGAAAAAATGAAGAACACATGTGTGCGGGTGAATAGTGAAAAATTCCAAATAGAGACGTATGTCAAGTTACAGAAGAAAAAAAACGAGTAAGCTAACAAGAAACTGGCATATAACCAGATAAAAAATTCCATATTGTAATAAGTTTTAGTAAGGCAAAGCTGAGAATCGATAAATTAAACAATCTGATGACTATGAAATTCATAACTAACATTAATATAGTTGAGAAAATAGAAGACTGTGAAGCGGAATATTCGATGTATTCCTAAACTTCGAATACCACCGTCCTGACAACCGTTACCATAGAAGGCAAACCATTGTCACAATTCGCCTTATTATCCAACAATCCAACTATCGAATAAGGCATATTTCATTTCACCGGAAGTAAGACTTCAGAAGTCAAAAGCTTACACGCATCAAGAACTGCTAGCAGAAAGCTCGAGTGATTATCCTCAAACAGTTATTTTTGGGCTCTACAGTTATGCTTCTAGGTTATTGAAAATCAAATTTTGATACCTCAAGATAAAAATTAACCTCTTAAGGTATGGGCAATCGGGAAACGATAAATGCATTTAAAATAGTATACCCACAATTATAATAACGCAGATTAAACACATATCATTTCTATATTATTTAAAATAATAATAAATACCCCTTAAATGGATTTACATGTGATTTATGTAGGCGAGTAAATGTGTGCTTCAATAAGTACATACAGCAAATGCACTATTCACAGCTACTTCATTAAGTGATTATAATATAATGCTATCAATTCACGGAGAATAATGGAATAAATCCAGTTGGTCATTTTATTCATCGTATTAAGGAAAAATTCTTCTAAACAACTTATAATTGATATTAGAAGTGTGAATAGATTTCACTGACCAATTTACTGCGAATGTTGCAACTTGTTTTAGAATTTCATCGCAACATCACATTAACTACTTGTATTCCTAAAATTGTTAATTTTAATCCCATTCCAATCTGTTTTTGATTGAATGCGTGAAACAGTAAGCTTTGTGGATATAATATTCGACTGTCAACCAAGTTGCCAGTTCGAACTCAAACTCACTTCAATTCAGACAACTGAGTGGTATTAGTAGCTCCTACAAAAATAGTGTAACTCGAAATCGAGTGCTTGATTAATAAATTGCTATTAGATGTATTTAAATAGTCAAGTGAAAAACCCAGATATGATAATTGTTCAAATAGTAAGAACAAAATAATAGGCTGATTCGTTTTTTAACGCAACAAATCTGAAAATCATGAACAGAAACGTAGAACTGTGCACGTAAGTACAGCAGGTTAAGTTGCCATACCACATTAGCACAGAGATATAATTGTCGATTCAAATCCCATAGTAGTAGAGGTAGTAAAAGTATTAAAAGTAATCGGAGAGATTACGGTTCGAAGATGTTATTCAAGAAGTATACTTCAGTGAGGTAAATTCAGAAAGAGAAAGACAGAGGTGATGAGGAATTAAGAAGGTTAGCATTTCATAGAACACAAAGAGTAGATCCACATGCGCCATTGCAAACGGTTTTTAGCCATGTCGTTCAAGGTCTCTAACCATTGGTGACTTTCGTCTTTCGGACCCCAACCAGATAGCCTACTTCTACCAACATGACTCACTCCACTTGTCAGTGACTTCATGCATTTCTGCCATGTTTTGGTATGGCCGGCCCTAGCTTTCGTCCCGTCTATTCCTACACTGAAAAATACAGCAAGTCGCGGGGATCGGTGTTTAGGCATACGTAACGCATGTCCCAACCACCTCAACTGATGAAGTTTCATTACTTAATCTATTGATCTGCCATCCGTACCTAATACTCGTTTCCTAACGACAGCATTGCTTATACGGTTGTCCCAGGAAATACGGGCCACGCTTTGAAGACATTTATAATCGAAGACTAGTAACCTACGAATGTCCTCTACTCTTAACGGCAATGTTTCGCATCCGTACAGTAGGACAGAGTGAACTGCTGCACAGTAAACTCGTCCTTTGGTTAGCAAGCGGATATCTCGCCTGCGCCATAGGTGACGCAGGTTGGTAAAAGCCAATCGAGCCTTCTGCATCCGTGCCGATATTTCGTCAGTCACCAGGCGATCAGCACTGATGAGACTCTAGAGATAAGTGAAGCGGTCTACACGCTCGACTGTTTCACTCCCTATCACTAGTTCAGGTGTAATGCAACCCGATTGTGAAGCAACATTTTGCATTTGGACGGGGAGAACCGCATCTCGAACATGCTTGCATTGTTTTTTAGGGTAGTCAGAAGATTCTGCATTTTGTCAGCGTCTTCACGAAGTAGAACTATGTCATCGGCATATTCTAAGTCAATAAGCGAGCCTCCTGGTAGAAGGTCTAATCCTGAAAATTCAGACAAGGATAATGTTATATCTAGGAGCATGTCCAAGGCAAAAGTGAACAAGAATGGAGAGAGTGGACATCTCTGACGGACACCACTTGAAGTAACCCATTCCGATGACACTTTGCCATAAGCTCTAGCTCGACCAGTGGTGTTCGAGTAGAGTGCTTGTATAAGGGTAATGTGCTTCTTTGGTACACCTTTCAATGACAGACACTGCAACAGAACCTCACGATCTACTGAGTCAAATGCCGCTTTTAGGTCCAAGAAAACAACTATTGTAGGACGCCTAAATGTGTGTCTGTGTTCCAGGACCTGTCGTAGTGTAAAGATGTGGTCTATACAACCACGTCCAGGTAGTAAACGAGCCTGGTTTTTTCGAGTCTGCTCTTCATGAGCTCTAGAAAGGCGCCTAAGGATTATCGAGGCTAACAATTTAGAAACTATATTAGTTAGACTGATTCCTTTGTGATTGTCGCAAGAAGACTTTTGTCCTTTCTTATGAATTGGGACAATCAATGATTCAGACCAGTCTGATGGGATTGTGTCCAGTTCCCAGATTCTACCTAAGATCTCGATCAATCTGACTGTTAAAACTGGATCGCCATACTTAAAAATTTCAGGGCTAAGCATATCAGGACCCTCTGCTCTAATACCATTCCAAGCTGCATCAGGGTGAGCTTCCTAACTGTTCTTCTAGTTGTTCCTGAAATATATTTATAGCCCTGCTATCATTAAGTAGAGCCTTAAGAAGTTTCGTTGAGTCTAGTAGGGCGCAAACAAATACGCGCTCGCACTAGAGCATGGTCTAAGTCTAAACAAGTGCTCCAGAATGGGCTGCAGTCTTCAATAGAACCTCTCCACCGATGGCTTATAGCGATGTGATCTAGTTGGGTCGGCTTCGGTGGTCGGCAGGTGAAAAGGTGTTTTACCTTATACTTAAATCTAGTGTTTGCTAGGAATATGCGCTTATCTGAGCATATCTGCAGCAGATGGTCGCCATTATCTGTTCTATTAGCCAAGAAACCATAAGATCCACCCAGGTGTCTTTGCTTTTCGCTGAGTCTACCTACTGGACCATTACAGTCACTAGCCATCATTACCATATCAGAGCGCTTAACATTTTGGAGAAGTTTAGAGAGGTTTCTATAAAACTTTCATGTCGTCTGAACTGCAGTCACTGGGAGCGTAGGCAGATACGACGAAGAGGCAACGGCGAGTGTCCCTATGCTTCCGAGTCCGTACCGTCCCGTTTAGCCGGACAGCTCATAAGCGGCTGTCTATCCGGTCCCAGTCTAGTTCTGCCCTAGGACTTAATACTATACGCGCGCCGGCGAGGCCCCCCCCCATCAGGGCTTCCAGAAACACGAAGCGTAAACATTGTTGCTTCTCTATCTGCACTAGGTCATGTATGCGCGTTTCGAAGACGCAACATACATCGATGACGCGAGATGCCAAAGTCCCAGCTAATGAAACCTGTTCCCCTATTTGGCATAGGGTCCGAACAATAGAAGCTCTTATATGTAATTTCGTACGGGGTTTCAAGAGACCAGGAATAATGTTTCGTGGACTCATACCGTTTGGTTCAAGGGCGTGAGGTGATAAACGATCGAAAGGGTTGGTCGATGAGATAAGAGAGTTATTAAGAGGTGTAGAAAGGATTTGATTTTGAACAATTTGGTTTCTCGTGCTGTTACGGGTATGAGGGCGGTTGTCACTTCCCGGCTGCCCACACCGTGGAAGGTTGTTTCTTGAGGGACCTGAAAAGGAAGATAGATTAGTGTTGGTCTTAGAGACCTGGGAGCGTGACTGCAGAATCCAAGGGACAACTGCTTTAGGCCGGTCACGCACGGCCTTTTTATTAAAGGTTTTTTGAGTAACAGCTCCGCTCTTAAAAGCCATTAGTGAGCAATCCTTACTGCCGGAGAAAGAAATCCGTGGAGTAACGTGAGGTGTGACATTTTTAGGGTAGACCTTTTCTAACCCCTTGCTTCCTTGTGAGAAGGCAGCATCGCTGCAGATGCTGGTCGTCGAAGGGAAACACCTTAGTGCTGTCACACCCCTCTGCAGTCAGCAGTACGACTTCGCCCTCAGATGTCGTTTGTATATATATATATATATATATATAAAACCTGGATGGTTTAGTTTTGAAGCTTTCTTTATCGTCGAGAACACCACGCCTCTACTATCCTCTACTTTCGCTGAAAATTCGCCATTTCGTAGTGACAACAATTTATCAGTATGCAAAGAGAAATACTATAAATTTACAAGGAAATTTAAAATTTGTGAAAGATAAATCCCTAGCATCCGCATAAATAATGAACATTTGTATAACGTATTTATATATTTGTTTAGAATGTGTGAAGATTAATGCATAGAGTAATGATGACACAACTAAGAGCAAACAATAGATGATTTTAGTGCTTCATTAGCACAGTTCAAACTGGGTAATTCACTATACACAAATCATGTCATTTTGAATGGAAATAAATTGAACACTTTTTTAACCGAT